GGCCTTGATTCTTCTGTCCCAGTCTCCTGAGTGCTGTGACCGCTGGGGTGCACCACTCCATCGGACTGATTGTTTAGGCTTCAATGTACATGTTATTTTCTCGGGCAGACTTTTTATAATCTTTCATCGTCTTGAGGCTCTCCTAAAACATGCTTCCATTGTACCCAGTGTTTCCCACCTGTCAGACTATTTTTCAGTGGCTTGTTTTCTTGTCTGTATCCTTTACAGAATTAGAAGCTCATTAGGGATAGCTCATCCGTGTTCCCGCAGCATAGTGCTGGCTCAGCACAATGCTCAACAAGTATTTCTGGAATAAATGAGCAGTGGTGTCTGGTGCTGAATAAAGAGGAATCACTGTGATTGACTATTTTGTGCACCATTGTCTGTCTCTTGTAACTAAAGATCTGCATGTCACTGTGGGACCAGTGAAAACTGCATTGTGAGCACTTGCTGTTTCTTACCAGGGTGCTGGAACTGATGAGTTCACTCTGAACCGAATAATGGTTTCCAGATCAGAGATTGACCTCTTAGACATCCGACGTGAGTTCCAGAAGCATTATGGCTACTCCTTACACTCAGCAATTAAAGTAAGTCTAGCAAAACACTGTTCCTTTCTCTCTTATCCTCTTTCTTTCATATTCCTTAAATCATAGAGACATGCAACTTCAATTTTGCCCTCCTAGTCAGAGTGTTTCTGAGTTTCAAATAGTTACAGTAGGAGCTGAAGAGATGGCTCAGTGCTTAAGAGCACTGGTTGCTCTTATAGAGGACCCAGGTTTGGTTTCCAGTACCCACGTGGCAGCTAACAACCATCCTTATCTCCAGTTCCAGGGGATTCGATGCCCTCTTCTGACCTCCATGGGCATGACATAGGTGCACTTACATACATGCAGGCAATACACTTATACATATAAAATAAAAATAATAAATAAAAATATATTTTGTATTACACTTAATCATGTATTTAGTGTGTGTCTGTGTGTGTGTGTGTGTGTGTGTGTGTAGATCAGAAGACATCTGGGAGTTGGTTCTTTCCTTCCACCATTGGGTCCCAGGAATTCAACTCATGTTGTCAACCTGACTACAAGCACCTTTATCCACTGAGCTATCTCACTAGCCCACTACTATGGTTCTGAATAGTCAATGACATCATGGCCATACGAGTCCTTGAAATTGAAAGAATGGAAAAAAATGTAGCAGTATTGCAAGAATTAACTTGCATCACAGGGTCAACCTGGGAGTTAAACACTAGGTATGTTGATTTAGAACTCAGCTTGTATGTGAGGCTGAGGCTGAGGAACCCAGGATCACACAGAACTTTAGGAGAACAGACAGCCAATCCTCAGCACTCGGGGAACAGGAATGACACTCCCACTACAGCGCTCTTGTAGGAAGAGTTCCCTTTTAAAAATAATTATATATCATTTCATTTTTGTACCAATGACATCAACAGATATCTGCAGTTTCCAGCTATTATAAACAGTGCTATACCATATAAGAACAACTTCATGAGGTAAAAGTATTGGGGGGAGGGTGGATAAATACTTCGGTATAGGGTTGCTCTGACAGAAACATAATTTTTACTTTTGCTAAATATTATGACTTGTAACGATGTAACCTTGGTAAAGAGATTGTTGTTAACTCACAAACAACCCTTTTGTGTTTTTACAGTCTGATAGGTAAAGATTATATCTCTGTATAGTTGTTATGGAGATGAGCTGAGACAAGGCCTCACTATGTAGCCCAGGCTGGCCTCAAGCTCCTGAGTGCTACAGTTACGGGTCTACACCACCATACCCAGCTTCAGTATAGTTTTAACTTACATTTTTCTCAATATGAGGGAAACTGAACATATTTTCATGTTTTAAATGCCATTTGTATTTTTTTTTTCTGTGATGTCCTTTTCTGACTTTTTCATTATTCTTTTGGATAGCTGTTGCTTTTAGCTAATTTCTAAGACCTTTTTTCTTTCATAAAGTAGATTAGTTTTTTAATATCATTATAAATATTTTCCTCAGTTGATTATTTACCCTTTGACTTGGATAAAGGCATTTTTTCCCAAGCAGAATTTTATATCACATATAATTGAATTTATTGTTATTTATAGTTTCTTAAATTTTTGTAATGACCTATTGTGTTTCTATCATTCTGGATGAGACTCCTTCACAATGTTTGCTACTACTTGCTGTCTGTTTTAAAGAATGAAGCCAGAGTCACTGTTTTTAGATGTCAGTTGATGTGTGTGTTTGTGTATATGTATATCTCCCAAATAAATTAGAAATTATCAACAAAGTAAGACTGGCCGAAATTGTGCAAGAGGCTTCCATACCATAAAAGTTCATGGTTCAAAAGTCATAGTGCCAATAGAAATAAAGCAGCTAGCCAATCAGTGCTACACTAAGGGGCCAGCTTCAGGTCTGCCTAGTCTTCTGTTTGCTCATTATCTCTACCTCAACCCCAGATAGCATTAAAAGTCTCTAGTAATTATGAGAGCTGAGCTGAGCCGATTCCCTGAAACAGTACGGACACTGAGGTTGAGCAAGGCTGTCCAACAATCCCAGACACCAGGGCCACACTGACTAAATAGAGTCTATGAGTGGTTATGCAAAGGTCCCACAGGCTGCATGACTTCCTTACCCCTGAGATTCTAGCCAGTCTTCAAACTTTTCATGGGGACCCAGGCACATACCTGCTAGAAATCAAAAGCCAGAGGGCAAAGAGGGGAGCAACCTCTAGCCCAGCAGGAAGTGTTTACTCCCCAGTCCCAAGCTAGGGATAGATTCCTGCTGTGTAGGCATCCCAGACCCAGCTGAAGGATCATTATGTACTGTGCAGATCCTAATTCTGGGTAGCTCCACTCTTTCAGCCCCTTGGAGCCTAGTCATAGCTACCAGGGATGCCTGGCTTAGATGGTATTCCTAGTCACTGAGCAGTTAAGTCTTTACTCTTTCCCCCAATGCATTCCTACCCACCCTAGTCATTCTTAACCAGGCACTGATATTGGCCTGGGCTTCTCTGACTACCTCGGGAGTGTTCCAGCCTCAGAGTTCACCAATGATTGTTTTAAACAAATGAATGAATGGATTAATACCAATCAGTTAGGTAGATTTTCTGACCAAAATCCTTTGTGCTTTTAACCAGAGCCTTTGTTTTTGTACTAAACTTTTATAGAGGAAGATACGAGAATAAGTCGAAATCATGAATTAATCCAAAAGAGCAGTTGGCTCTGCCTAGTGGTTTAGCTTGGGTTTTGTCAGCAGCCCACACTCAATTCTGTTTGAATTGATCCTGACGCATTACAATAGTTTCAGTCATCATAGGAAGATTCAATAACACTAACTACATTGTACTTGCTAAGGCAGAAAAGCAGACTCATACATTTTATAACAATTGTCAGTAACAAGGTTGACACACCAGGAGGGTTTTCAGTTCACCCTCAGCAAACCAGCAAATTAAATTAAGTCATGGCGCTCAGTCCCCCAGTGGTCTGGGTAATTGAGACTTATTGTATTAGGAAACATTTAAACTGTTTGCAGTTGGATAAGAAGAGAAATCCATCACTGAAGAGTCCAGTTTGTGATTTGAAATAATACACAATTCCTTTCTTTCTACCTCCCACGCACATTATCAGGTAATCTCATTATGTTTTCCTTACTGACCAGCAGGATCTTTTCAGATAGATGTGTTTCTGAAACTCAGGAGATAGAGGTCCATTTTGTACACCATCCTAGTCTTTGATTCTGTCTTTTCTGTCTCCTATTATTAAGACATTTAACTACTTATTGACTCCTTTCTTGGGTGATGATTGGTAGGGAGAAGGAAAGAAATAACAGGTGAAAAACAAATATGAGGGCTGGTGAGATGGCTTGGCAGTTAAGAGCACTGACTGCTTTTGTAGAGAACCTGGGTTTGATTCCCAGCACACACATGGCAACTAACGACAGTCTGTAACTCAAGTTCCAGGAGATCCGACACCTTCTTCTGGCCTCCACAGGCATTGCATGACATGGGTGCACATATACATGCAGGCAAAACACTCATAGACAGAGAAAATAAAAATAAATTGAAAAAAATAAATATGTATCACTTCTTGATAAAATGATACTTAGTGATTCAGATGAGGTGACACAGGCTTTTAAAACCCACAAATCAGAGGGAGAAAGATATCAAGTTTGAGGCCAGCCTATGCTACATAGTAAGACCCTGTCTAAAAAAGATATTAATGGGAATTTAGATGAGATTGCATTTTTGATAGGTTTCTTTGGTCAGTAATTGATGCCCTTATTTAATAAATTGGGCTCAGGGCTGGAGAGATGGCTCAGCAGTTAAGAGCATTGACTGTTCTTGCAGAAGACCTGGGTTCAAATCCCAATACTCACATGGCAGCTAACAGCCGTTGGTAATTCCAGTTCTAGGGGAGCCAATGCCCCCTTCTGTCCTCTGCGAGCACCCCACGTCATGGGTGCACTTACACACTTGCAGGCATAATACTCATACACATAAAATAAAAATAAGTAAATGAAAATTTTAAAAATGAAAGAAAATAAATTGAGCTCTATAAAGGAAATATAGTTGCTACCCTGAATGAGCTCAACCTATGTGGAAGCTTGAAGGAAGTATAAAATTTAGGTGATAATTGGAACAAGATACAGTTGACTCCTAGACTATGAAGTGGGGAAGATGGAGATACAGAATTGGCAGAAAAAATTTGGAGTTGGATAGGAACATTTCTTAGAGCAGTGAGTCTTGAGTTTGTTATTTAGGTCAACAGCAGCTACTGAATGCCTCCTCTGAACAAAAGGGTCAAGATGAATTCTAGAAATAGAACCATGGTAAGAGTCAGGAAGAAGATACAATAAATCACTCACTTAATTGCAATGCTTATTTGGTAATATTCAGACATAAAATGATGAGTTCACTTAGAAAGTGTTCTAAAATTTATACTGTATCCATCCAGTTAAAATATTTATTAAGTGCATGTGATATGCCAGGCTCAAAGTTAGAGTTATAAGGAGGGAAGCATTTTCTGCTCCTGTGAAATTACAAAGAAGTGTAAAAATCACAACTATGTTAACTGTTGTGGGGGGCGCGTTGTGCCAAAAGATCATATAGTGAGAGAACTTGACTGACAGGAAAGGCTTCTATGAGGAAATTTTTATTCTGATCTGGAAAGTGAGTGGTAACCCTTGGGCTTAACAAGGCAAAGGCTCGGCTGCTACAAAGTCAAGAGAGTGTTGTAAGATAACATGTTCAGGGGGAGACATTCCCTATTCAATCCATATCAGTCATTCACCTTACTGAATCTCTGAACAAGAATGAAAATTCTGTAGAGAGAAAACATAGAGTAAGGAGTAGAAAGCTTAGAATTGAGTTTTACCCATCACTATCTAATGGCTGTGCACGAGAGGAGAAGACTGCACAGAAGACAAAGGTGGACACACCAGAGAGGAAGGAGAACAGCCAGGACCATGAGGTAGAATGGAAGGCAAAGGAAGAGGGTGTTTCTAGGAGAGCGAATCAAGATGCTGTGTCCTGCTGACAGAAAAGTAAGATAAAGGCTGGAAAATGTTTGAACTTGAGCCATAGGATGGTCATTACTTGACTTACAAAACGGTAAGAAAGAACACCTTGGACACATAGATTGGTTAAGCTAAAGTCACACCAGTAGCAAGACTAGACTACATTTGTAGTGACTTGAGAAACACTACAAAGAAACGATTGGCAGGACTGTGAGACGCAGAGAGTAAAGAACGGGATCAAAGTTGGAGGGCAGAGAACCCCAGTACAGTTAGCGACGGGCTGACTGAAGTGTTCAGCTTATTTCTTAAGAATCTGGGGGAGGGGAACTTGAAAAAGGGTCTCATGTAGCCTTATTGGCCTCAGACTCCATATATAGCCAAAAGTAGCCTTGGTCTTCCTGCCTCCACCTACCAAGTGTTGGGATTACAGGCATAGGCCACCACACCTGGCCCTTAAGAACGATAAATAGGACCTAATTAGGAAGGCACAAATTACATCCAATTTCTTTGAACTTATCACAACAATTTTATGACAACAGCATTTCTAAAATGAAATATAAATAAAATGTCTAGAGGGGTACAGAGGCAAGAGAGAGGACACATTTGTTTAGTCCCTAAAGTGAATCAAAATTTTATATATAATCCCTGTTGTAAGCTTCTTGGGTATCTTTCATTATTTATTTATTTGGGGGGTTATTTGCATGCATGCACGTGTGTCAATGGGTCAGAAGGTTAGTGGACAACTTGTTGGATTCAGTTCTTTCCTCCTACCAGGTAGACCCTGGGGATCAAACTCAGGTCATTAGGCTTGGCAGCATTTACCTTCACCCCTTGGAGCCATCTCACTAGTCCTTGGGTGTCTTTTCTTGAGTTACTGGTAAAGACCTAATACTTATATACAGCTGTGTACAAGTTTAGAAGTTACTGGAGGCTATTCCTTAAACAAAGAGCTAGAGTGTTGGTGACTGTCAACAGTTTGAGAGAAGGTTGCATGTGGCAGAGCAAGACTTAGGAAAGCCAATAGAGGAAGAGGTAAATCCTATCATCTGTAACAACAGAAAGACATGTAATAATCCTATTATGTCTCTCACATGACAGCATGTCCAACATCTCCACCCAGTGACCCTTCTTCATTACTTACTGAACCATAACCATGCACTCTAATATATACTCCACTCACAGCTTTCCCAAATATAGACTTAAGTGCTAAGAAGTGATCATGGGCTGGGTTACTCCAATAAAATAAAATGATGTGAAAATGAAGGCAATCCAGGTAAAAAGCCAAGCTTTACCTCTGTTGATGTGTTTTGTATAGCAAATGTAGTTATCTCTGTCCCTAAATCCTTACACTATCATAGTTAATTTTCCCGAACCAAATTTTTTTCTGACTGGCTTTGGGAAAAGAACCAGTAAGCCTCCTCTATGGGACTATGGTGGATCCCACCAGTACATCATGGAGTGAGGGACCAGGCTCCCGGGATTCCAGTCCTGCTTCGCTCCTGATCCCATTGGTGATTGGAGGGCAAGTTCCCTAAGCTCTGTATTCCTCGTTTTACCTAACTGCTACATGGAGATAAGGAGCATTCACATTCTACTACACAGAACTTGTTCATAAAGGTTCACATAGTTAATATACAGCAAGCTTTTTCTTTTCCTTTGAACTTTTTATACTGGAAATTCAACCTAGAGCCTCAGGAATGTTAAGCGCACTGTAGACCACTAAGCTGCACCTCCAGTGCCCCACAGTAAGCCTTTTGGACAGCAAATAGAAGTGTCAGATTAATATGTATTATTAAAACTACAGTTTTAAAGGTTTTATTAGAAGTTATCATGTAATTGCTGCAATCTTATATTTTGAGCCCTTAATTGAAATTTAGTTGCACTACAACAGGAAGCATTTCAGCATTATTATATTCCAGAGAAGATGGGGGCTGGAGTGTAATTGCACCTGTGTATGGACAAATGGTGCCACTACAGGTGCTGTACTGACCTGTACAGCTCGTGAGTCTCATACCCAAGTGACTTCTCTAGCACTGTGGGTTTGATGCCTTTGTAACCCACTCATTATTTATGCCATGTTTGTTCTCTGCCGGTTCTGTCCTTTGCAGTCAGATACTTCTGGAGACTATGAAGCCGTGCTCTTAAAGATCTGTGGAGAAGATGACTGAAGAAGACAGTCTCTGAAGACCTGCTCCCACAGCAGACTTCTCTAACAGCTTTGTTACTTCTTTCTTACACCATTCAAAAGTACAAGCAAGTGTAAAACAGTAACTTGTCTGCCTAGTGGAAATTTCCACTGTTCTAGTACAACAGAAACAAAAGTGATTATTTGAGAGCATTTCGTTCATAATGTAGTGGTTTATAAGGGAAATTTAATATAGTATCCAAGACCTACTAACACTATCCAAATTCTATTTTGCTTAAGAAATCAGAATCTGTGTAGTTCTGTAAGAAATCAGAATTTGTATAGTTTCAAACTCTTAAATATAAATCAGGATATTAAAAGTGGTTGCCTTTGTTAAATGTAATTTGTCTACTAGTTTTTAGAATCTACCAACTTTGTGTGTAGCCTGGTGCCAACAATCAATGACATTTTAAAATATATTTTGTTGTAAATGCTGCTGCCGCTTCTATTTATTACTTTATTAGTGTGGTCTTAAGAAATAACAGTGGTTGGGGCTGGAGAGATGACTCAGTGGTTAAGAACACTGGTTGTTCTTGCAGAAGACCCAGGTTCAAATCCCAGCACCCACATGGCAGCTAACAACTGTCCATAACTCCAGTTCCAGGGGATCTGACAGCCTCTTCTGACCTCCGCGGGCACTGCATGACACAGGTGCACTTACCTACATGTAGGCACTACACACATACACATAAAATAAAAATAAGTAAAATTAAAAATAGATAACAGAGGCATGGAATGGTGGTGCACACCTGTAATCCCAACACCTGGGAGGCAGAGGTAGAAGGATCAAGAGTTCAAGGTCATCCTTGTGAAGCTTCAGGAGGTATGTGCAGATCCATTAACAGCTGAGTGTGGTCGGGGCATGGAACGCAAATGTGCTGCATAGCTTTAGTTGTCAACTTGACACACCTGGGTAGAGAGATCTCAATTGAGGAATTTTCTCCATCGGACTGGCTTGTGACCATGTCTGTGGAGCATTTTCTCGACTGTTGAGTAATGTGGGAGAGCCCAGTCCACAGTGGGTGGTGCCACCCCTGGGTAAGTGGTCCTGCACTATATAAGAAAGCAGATTGAGCACAGGTCAGGGGATCAAGCCAGTAAGCAGCATTCCTCCATGGCCTATAGGGTCCTGCCCTGAATTCCTACCTTGGGCTCCCTCGGTGATGAACTGTGACCCAGGAGATACAAATTTTATAAACCCTTTCCTCCCCAGGTTGATATTGGTCAGAGAGTTTTGTCATAGCAATGGAAGGCAAACTAGAACAACAAAGAAGATGAATAGTATTTAAAGAGGATTTCAGCCAGGGAAATGATCGCGTTCTTAGGACAAGGGGACATGGATTGCATTGTGAGCTGGGGGCCAGCCTGAGCAATATCAATATATATATATATAGATGGATGCATAGATAGATGATAGATAGATAGATGATAGATAGATAGATAGATGATAGATAGATGATAGACAGAAAGAAAGAAAGAAAGAAAGAAAGAAAGAAAGAAAGAAAGAAAGAAAGAAAGAAAGAAAGACAAATGAATCCGTGTGTGAACCTTGCCTGCCCTTTCTAGTTGTGATCAGGCTGCAGGAGTGGCAAAGCATGATAAGTTATTTCAGTCTCCAGAAAATATCTGCTGAACTATTAATCTAACCACTTCCTGTCTGCATGGCAGGAGTAAGCTGTGGTTGCTTCATGCTAAATACTAATTTTCCCAGAAATGGGTATTTAGAATCAAGCTTGTAATGTATCCTTTCCCCCTAAGTAAATAAAATTATGCTTTTAAAAAAGTCTCATGGTATTTTTGAGTGGGCCCTAAGAAGAAATACCTGGACCCGTAAGAAATGTTAGGTAAGAAATTTCGGTTGGAGTTACTAATCGTGTCATTCCAGAAGTGATGTGTGGGCTCCAAGCTTTAGCTCAAGAGTCCTCTGCTAACACGCTGAGATCCTGAAAGTGAAAGAGTTGTTTCTTAGTCTGAGATTTCAAAAAATTCAAGGGAGGATAAGCAGGGAGACTGGCTCAGGCACACCTGGTTTTGGTCTCCTCACCTACCCTTTATAAGCTCCATGACTTTGGCAGCTACTAAACTTTGTGAAGCTTGGGTTTTCTGAGCTCTAAACTGGAGATCTTTGTAGTCCATACCTTTATCATAGAATTTATATTTTTTTAAATGTATTTATTTTTATTGTTTTTATGTGCATGAGTGTTTTGCCTACGTGTATGTAAATATGCATCTTATACCCCCCTGGCCTGAAGAGGATGTCAGGTATCCTGAAACTGGAGTTTTGGTTGGTTGTTAGCTGCCATGTAGGTGCTGATTCTCTGTAAGAGTAGCCAGTACTCTTAACTGCTGACCCATCTCTCCAGCCCCTACCATAGGATTTCTTAAAGATTAAGTTAAATGGTGACCATGAGGTGGCTAGCACTCTGACTGGACATGGTTGGTGTTCAAGTGATGCTCACTGGCACCGTTATGGCCAGGCAGCATCAAAATGAGCAGCACAGCACTGCAGTGATTCTCCAGCAGGCTTCAGTTCACCTACCACATACCAAGCTCCACAGTAACTGTTACACGCAGCAAAAGAGACTAACATTCATTTCGTTTTGCCAAGGAGCTTAATATTTGTTTAGGGAGTTATGCAAGCTGATAAATACAACCCAGTCTGTACTGGGTACATTTAGGAAAGTTACGTTGTGGGCAGGGGGCAGGCCTTGAGCCTTCCAAAGGTCACAAATTCAACCAGTAGAAAGGAAGAGGGGCTTTCCATACGGATGACAACACTTACAGTCAGAGCTGTGAAGGTGGGTGCACAGCTGCGCTCACAGCTTAGCATGTGGTTGAGGCTCAGGGCAGAGAAGGTGAATGGCAAGGGGCAGGGGTGAGATTCTGAGGGCCTCACACCATGCTGAGGTGTTCACAGCTGGCAGAGTCAAAACGAGCATTCCATAGCTGAGCAGATAAAACCTTTTGCTGCCAAGTCTGAGGACACGTGGATTCTATCCCTGGGACCCATGTGAAGGAAGGAGAATACTGACTTAGCATGCCTGCATACACACACACACACACACACACACACACACACACACACACACACTCTCAGAGAATTACTCACTGAATCCAATTAGTGCTGCCTATTGGAATGCTGACTGATCTTGTTGACCTCATCTTGTGCATGTAACCACAGGTGCTGTGAGTCCATGAGTGCAATAGCCATGTCATGTCCAGAAGGCAGCATTTCCCAGCATCCCTCCCCATCTTCCAGCTCTTCCATTCTTCCGGCTCTTCCCTGATGTTCACTGAGCATTTCTCTCTCTCTCTCTCTCTCTCTCTCTCTCTCTCTCTCTCTCTCTCTCTCTCTTTGTTATAGATGTC